GACATGCAAGAAATGTCGGCTGCATGCAAAATATTACCGACAACAGCCAATAAGGACTCCAGGATGGCGACTCGTACAAGAAAAATCAAGAATCAAAAATCAAGAAAATAATACCCCAGTGGAATGAAGCAATGTAATATCTTAGTAAGAGCCGAGTAGGTATAGCCGTGTAGTAAGATAATACACAGCAACTTTCAACTGAGCTTGAGGATTTATCTACGGAGTCTTTTTCAAGAAAATACAGGACAGAGATCTCACCGGAATAGTAGCGTTGTTTCTCGAGGAGGTGCTGAGCTTATCATTTGGCATGGTTGAAATTGTAATTGAGGGTAATTACTAAGCTTTAAGTGCGAGGGGGGCAATTATATTCAAGAATCCTTTTTCACTTTTTAAGAGAATATTACGACATGATGAAAAGACACCCCTCTACGTGAGTTGCCTCCGAATGAGGAAGTGCGTCATTAACCTTTTTTTCAGAACCAAATGGGTCGCACGCCAATGACCGTTGTTCAGGGAACAATGTACGCGAACGTTTTAGTGAGCGAGTACATATCGATACACTCGGAGCCGGCGCTCTGTGAAAACTGCGATCGGCTGCTTACGAAAAATGATGTAAGCTAAAAGGTTGTATTACACGACAGTTGAGTGTCGTTGGCGCGTGATACAGTTTCTGCAGCATAAACAGCCGTTTCCTTAGCATTCCTCTCGGAGTACTCATCACAATGAGATAACTATGATGAGTGGTTTGGAATAACAGTCAACTTGGCACAGAGCGCTGAACAAAGCGCAGTTGCTCATTCTGTGCTGCAGAACATTTAATCTAGTGATATGCGTCCGAGCCAAAATATTAGCTGTATTAAAAGAAGTATATCATGCGCAGCTCGCCACTTGTCGTTTCCCGACCTGATACAAAGAGTCGGTGATGAGCAGAAGAAATTAGTCTCTCATTCATTTTGCGTTGGGTTTCGCACGGAAATAAGCAAGAAAGCTTCTGTTTTCTTGATAATAGCAATTGATATGACATAATATTTAGCTCTGGAAACATGTTAATGTCATGACACACTTTTCGATCCAGTGACAAATCGTGTGGTGTGTTCTTGCCACAACGTCAAGATGTCTACTCATCAAGAAAATAAAATGCGTATACACCCTAAACGTGGATACCACATTTTCTCTTACTTAGTGCATGATAGTCGTTGCAATGGCAATCGATGACGAATGATAAACTTAGCACCTCTCCGGTACCAATCGTAATTTTGCAAAATCGTACCGTCGCGTTATTCCTTGAAATCATCAGGTATGTATCGTTTTCAGGCTTAATGAGAAATTTAATAGATATAATGGGGAAACGATTACAATTTCAGGGACTACAGAGTCACTTCGCTCACAAATGATTACTTTAATTTACCACAATTTTGTGTATTTGCGATGCTTTGCACAACAGTTTAATCCCCAAACCCTACAGGCTACAGCTTTGCCGAAAATGAATCCGTGGCTAGAGACCTCCAATCGACGTCAAACAGATGATAACATCATATACATAGAAAGAACAACGCAGTATGCTATTTGATATTCCACTTTTACGGAAAAGCTTAGCAGAACCTTCGACACCTTTACTAGTGTTCCCGTCCGATGATGTATGGATAATGTATCAAAAAATGACATCTTTAATACAGTTGTATACTGCTTAATAATTCAACAATCGCGTGTCATCCCTGACTGTACATTATTTCTCAGTCTGTCAGGACTTTGGCGGCTTCTTGCAACCCATGGTATTTGTGGTAACAAATAGAAATATGGACAATGAGCCGCATATCTCCTAGAGTGGATCGAGTTTTAGGAGTGCCCCACTACCCACCCATACAATATAATATTCTTCCTTCCAAGAAGGTCACCTCCACCCTTACTGGAATCGACGTTTACCCGCTTGGCCTTCGTCAAACGACCTTGGGTAGAGGTTTGATCCTTTAAACCACTCAGCAGAGAGAAAGAGAACATGAAAATTTCGAGTGTTTGATCTTTCACAATTGTAACATCCGCAAAAGGTCAGCGACCAAGAAATTTTGTTTTCCACCATTTCATGACTGACGTCTATCTCCTTTGAGGCACTCGGAGCGCTTTCAGCCTTGGCTTCTTAAACGGCTTCGTGGTACGGAAGTCACACTCCAAACTAACACGATACCCACTGCATTTGCCTCTCCTTATGAGTGACAAAAACTTGGAGCGCATCCAGCTGGCTTGATAGGCCGTTTGAACCTCCTCACATGAGTTCTTCCCCAATAAAGAGTGCTTTTCTTAAATCGCGACGGGCACATTGCACGGAGGAGCTTTGACACCAAGTGTCCGCGTCAACAAACGCACAGATGACTGATTTGTAAACTACATCCAGGAGCGAAACCGAGAGTATCTAAAATTATCAGTATATACGATTTCAAAAATGACCCATATAGATTTTTTTTTACCGAAAATACATCGTAATCAGTCACAATGCAAAGACTGAGGCTTCAACTTGCGCCATTAAGGTACCAGTTCACGCCGGCCATGTCACATAAAACTGCAACACTAACTCACGCCGCAGATTAAGGCGCCGGCATACATAAGCTAATATCCATCCTACCATAGATGAACTTTGGAAAATTTGAAGTTGAGTGTTTCGCAGACATATATACTTTGGAGCCGCTATGTACTACGGCTTTTGTTTTACTGATTCCCAATACCGCAACTCACCGCCGCTTCTGCCTCATTAGCTGCACTCAAGACATTTATCATGATATACTAGATAGATAAGACAATCTCATATCCTTTCCTTAGAATATCGTAGCTCTTTATACTCTCGCCAAAAGCACCTATGTTTCCTGCTTGGCGTTAAATCATGACTCTCAAAACTCCGCCAGCAGAAAAATATTTGTGGCATTTGAATCCCGGTAGCGCCTCGCTTCCTTTTGGTTCTTTGGAACCGGCCAGTCCACAATGGTCTTGACCTTTGCGGGGTCCGCTCGAAGGCCACGCTTCCCAATGAAACACCCTAAAAAGGGAATTTTATCCGTGCAGAAGATGCGACAGCCTTTGGGACATCACCAGCAACTCCCAGAGTATTCCGCTCGAAATACTCACCGCTGTCAGCGATATATCACTCGCTCTCGTTAGCGATTGGCGATAACCATCGACCAAATCGAGTGCGCTGTACTATATACAGCCAGACATATTGTTTCGGAGAACATTCTTTCTGGGAATCGGCGTCTGTGCGGGAATTGTGGAAGTGTTTAGCTTTTTATAAGCGTGAACGATACGCTACTTGCCGTTCGGCTTTCGGACACAGAACATGGGTGTCGAATGGAGAGACTTGCTCTCACCCACCACCCCTGCGTCGTGATTCGCACGGAAATAGGCGTCAATGATGTCACACTGCTCTTTGGGCAGGAACCATTGGCGTGAAACACAGTATTTGGTTCCCGGAATCAGGTCAATCTCATGACGCACACCTCGGTCCGGAGGTAGGACCGACGGTGGCTCTTTGTAGACGACATCCGAGAAATCCTTTGCCAAGGGATAATATGAATCCGAATGATCTTTCGGCTCGACGAGCCACTACATGCTTCAGCACCTTCTTAGTGTCCTCTAGGACAGCTTCATCCAGAAGTGACCACGTTAATCTCCTCGTTCGGTCTTATACTGACCATCTCGGCTAAATTGCCTGCCTTCAAGGCACCGTCGAACTCTTTGAAGGACATCTCGTCTAACCCAAGACGAGCATCATAGCGGGAATAGCCTCGAGGGTGACGACGACGTCTTTCTCTCTCGTCATGCCGTTGACAAAGGTATATAGCTGTGCGCTATCGTCTACGGTAGACACATTCTGGTTCAGGGTCGACGCTCTGTGTCTTGCAGGTAAAATTTGACTTCGCTGTCTCCTCTCCATAGAGGTCTAACGTCATCTCGAGACCAGTGGAACACCCATTCGGGACGTCCAGTGTCCCCACTCCCTACTCCATCCGAAGCCTTGATGTTGTTTGCAACATCCGACGATGAGCTCCTATTTCCGCACCCAGTGTTAACGTGCCACTCCACGCGCATCAGTAAGGCATTGCTCAGGTTGCCTCGGACCTCGTCTGACCATGCACTTGTGGCATGCAGAAATTGCTTCAAAACGTGAGCAGTGCTCAGTGGGTTACGTCCCACTTCACGTGCATCACTGGGTCCTCGCACTCGATGCCTCAGTCCATGGCCGACCATGCCACTCTTGGCATGCAGCGACTGCTCCAATACTTGAACAGTGCTCAGTGGGTTACGTGCCACTTCGCGTTCAGCCCTTGAGCCACGCTCAAGACTCCTGTCCAAATCGCCTTTGGTGTTTGACAACTCGGATACTCCGACTTCCAGCACATTTCCCGGTCCAGTGCCAGCACCGATAGCGCTGCACGTCAAATGAGCTTCAAAAAGTACATGATATGTTTTCATTCTCTCCGGGATATTGAATGTGTAACAATTTATTTCTGACACGACAGCACAAACGTAGTTGGCCCGATCTAGCGGAAAGACATTATTAGAAGCTCTCACCGACCATACATTTCTGTGTGTTGTATCTGCCTCTCGTAATTGCATATTGTTTTTATGCCTCTCTGCTGTTCAGTCGCAGTATCGCGCTTTTTGCTCATGATGCAAAAACTTACATTTTTGTTGCGTAACTAATCCAAGCTGGTATAAGCGAGTTGAATGCTATCCACTGTATCTTTCACATCAAGATCGGATCTACTCTGTCGAAGTGTTCGGAGAGCATGGAGTTTATCATTTCTTTGCTGGTTGGATGTTTGACCGAAAGCAGTAGTCTCATGGTAGAGAAATTTGTCCGGAGCACTTTCGCGGAAAGACTACGTTGTGCTAGGGTAAATTGCTTATTAAGTGAGTCTGCGTTTGAGAGCGCAATACATGTCCAAAAAGTTTTTTTTCTCGATTAGATGTTTGATTTCGTTTCTAGAACCTTGAATAAAGCTCGCCAATTCTTGCTGCAAGGCGAGGATCTCAAGTGGATACAGCGACACTGACAATTCATGTTGGAAAAGACATTAGATTGGCTGTGTTCATACCCGTATCGGTGTTGCCGACAGCAAAGAGATGATTATTTACTCTGAATATCCACAAAGACCGCGATACTGGTTTGCCCAGACGCAATGCTTGAAAAAACTGAAGCAAAATCTGTATTATCTAGATTTATTTACTGCCAGCGATCTGATGGAGCCGGTATACTAATTAAAGGCGTCAGTGCAACGGCGTAGATTTAACCCATCAATGTGTTTTGTGCGTACGCACATACTTTGGTAACCCACTAGTATTCGATAGACCACCAGTACATAGCGCCCAAGGAGTATAGTCACCTTTTCTTTTTTTGGTGGCCGTATCATGTACTTCGCACAACATCTGAGGTTGAGAATTTATCATGGGGTTCTATTGCATGCTAAAAGTCAGATGGGTCATTGCTGTTGTGCACCGACACTACTGTGACGAATAGTGGTGATGAGAACCAAAGAAAATGATTTGAATGTAGTGGTGTTTAATCTCATAGCTCTTTGCTTTCCAAAGCTTTCAAAAACGCAACTATGATTTTGCTGACCCATCGGCTGCACGTATGGTCTCTTTGATCGAAAAAACATCATTTGACATGCAAACGTTATATGCTGGGCGACACAAATAGATCTATCACCATCTCAATAAGCTAACCGCCTACTACGATCCAAGTAATGATAACCATCTTGCCAATCTACGATTGGCAGTGCTGACGACGCCGCTGTGCAAAGACTCGAAGACGCCTGGTCTAAACAATCATAAATGGCATAGAGTCAAGGAAAAGCACCCTTTGCTTGACGAGGACATAATATAGTGCAATTAGTCCCTTGTCTTGCACAAAGCAGCTTGAAAGCTGATGAGGCTCATACCCATCGTCATATGCTTAAAGTAAAGCCCAGCTAATGGTGTTCGCTGAAGTGCTACAGAGAGCGTGAAATTACAGATCTGACTCTTAGTGTGATATACGTTGTTGAGTTTTCTTTTACTACCTTGAATGCTGTATCATCTACCGCACAGTTATACCGTTCGAACGCTGTCTAGAAGATTGGTGAGTGATTGTACCATGTTGTCATATCACTTGTGCAATACGTTGGCCACGCCAAGCAATTACCTAACGCTCCTTTTGAACAGTAGCACCAGTAATTCTACATAAGTCTGGACGTTGGACAATCTGTCTTTTTCAATGAAGCAGAATAAAAGAAAATCCCGGCGATGCTAAAGACACGTTTGACTATATTAGCAAAACGCTTACTAAAACGCATCCATTCGAGAACTGCCGGTTATATACAATATAACTTTTAATATTTGACTTCCTTAGCACTACTCTCTAGTAAATAATATGATTCTTTACATTCGATAAACTGTGCCTCGCAAAAAAGGGCAATTTTTCATCGAACAAGACGAATGCGTAGGCACGACGCAGCTTAAACAGCTCCGTTACCAGTTCAGATAATTATTTTTAATGTGCTAGACATCCTGGATTTTAGTCATGTATTTTCAATGACGGTCATAACCCACCAGCTTTGCTTAATAAAAAATTCATAATCCGCCGGTTTGTGGACCGACGAGCTCGTTAGAGATGTAACCTGAATCTGGTCAAATAAAAGCAATACACTCACTATAAAGCTTAGATGATTTTGAAGCCCAACCTTGGTATGGTTGCCGTAGCGCCGCTGATGTTTACGCGTTTGAAAACCCTATTTAACTATCCCACTAGCAGACAAGACATGGTTGCACGACAAAAAGTTGCTTCTCACCAGGGAGCTGAATCTTATTACTAAGGTCGTTCTGATTTACATCTTATTATCTATTCAGAGGTACCAAAGGATGAGAACAGCGAAAAATCATAAAAGATCGGACTTAAGTACTTGCCCTTCGATGAAGCCTAAAACCTAAACAGCGAAGTAGATTTATCAAGTTTAATTAAGCTAGACAGGTCTCATGGTGAATAAAGAACAGTCGGCATTTGCTACTCGAGGACTAGCTCTATCACTCCTCAGTGAAGCGTACAGTTTTATTATCTTTGAAACCGTTAACGCAATTTCGTTAAGTCAATAACCTTTGTGCAAGGCACTTGGCAGTAATAGTCGTCAATCCCAAGGTAAAGCTTTTGTAATATCTGTTATTAAAACTCGTAGACTAGCTTAGTAGGCTCATATTGACAGCCACATTGGAAGGAATAAGAATCCCTAGCGGCGGAAGCGGTAAGCACTCACCGAAATGCATTAACCAGCTATATATCGAAGTTATGAGATATCGACAACAAAAACATCAAATGTTGGCTGGAAAACAATTGACGTTTAATTTGAGATCACTTTACCAAGCATCCAGCTCCTTTACTGACAGAGATGAAGTTGAGGTAGTCACGAATTTTGCCGTGTCCCAGATGACCGAGAGAGCAGAGCCTAGCGGTCGTTACGCTTAGTGGATGTGCGAAGAGTGGAGACTTGTCTGCGGTACCGCTGTAGGAGAGGCATTACTTGATGGAAAGATTGGAGCAGTACGAACCTAGGTTTTCATCCTGTGAAGCCCGGTGTACTCTGTGCGCTTTAAATTCTTGGTTTTTTACTATGAACAAAATTCCTTTCGCCGCGATGGCGGCATAACCGTTGCAAAAAAGGTAATGGTCAATCGCACACCTCGTAGGTGCGGCTTGCACTGAAAATTTGAATGTCCATCCTAACGCTTCCGTGAACTTGGTAGGTGTCGTATCTGGTTCGGAGCACGATTTCCTTGCCGATGAGAATGGTGGTAATACCCCCCACCCAGAGGTGACCACCTCGGCTAAATCGCATGTCTCCAAGGCACCGCCAAACTCTTCGAAATACATCCTGTCCAGCTGAAAAAGAGCATCCACTGCAAAAAAAGCCTCGAGGGTGACACAACCGTCTTCCTCTCCCGTCATACCGTTGACAAGGGTATACAGCTGTGCGCTATCGTCTAAGGTAGATACACCATGGGTTAGGGTCGACGCCCTGCGGCTTGCAGATATCATACGGCTTCGCCGTCTCCTCTCTATAGATGTTTTACGTCTCATCGAGCCCAATGGGAACTCGCACTCGCCGTCGTCGAGTGGCCCCACTCCCTGCTCTATCGGCACCTTGATGTTATTAACAACATTCGATTAAGAGCTGTAATTTCCACGGTCCAGTAGATAACGTGCAACTCCACGTGCATCAATAGGGTCTTGTCTTCAATGCCTCGGCCCTTGGCCGACCATGCCGCTCTTGGCATGCAACAACTCGACTGCATTAATACTTGAGCAGTGCTCAGTGGGTTACGTGCCACTCCACATTCGCCCGCAAGCCACGCTCGGGACTCCTGTCCAAAACGCGTTTGGTATTCGACAACTCGGATACTCCGATTTCCAGCATATTGACCGTCCCGGTCCAGTGCCCGCGGTAAAATCGCTTCTGCTTTCTAGCAAAGGTGAGTTTATAACTCCTCAAAGCTCCAACAGGAGGCGTGTGCGTAGCGCCCAAGGTCTTTGACCTCCAGTCAATCCATGGCTCATGGTGTTCCAACCATGCCATACCAAGTATAAGGTCATACCTTGCATCCAAAGTCTAAGACTAAGCAGCGTTCCACGCTATCAAAGTCAAGGAACTTGACACCGAGGTTTACAAGGACCCTTGGCACTATGACACAAGTCCCCGTCATTAAGCAAATAGTGACGGTGTCACTTAATCGCGCTTCCAGCGCCTCACAATACAGCTGACTTCCTTCCATCGTTGAGCGTCGAGCGTAAATGCCCGATGCCCCGGAATCGATAACGATCTTCCATGGCTTTTCGAAGCCCTTCACGGTCGCTTTTACGACCAGCAAGTCCAGCTTGCACATACGTCCTGTCTGAAAGAGCACGGAGCTCTTTGGGGTTGAACCCTGCTGACCTCTATCTCTTTATGGCACAACAGGACTCAATTCTTCCCTAGTAGGGCGCCAAACGCCTACTAGGTTATCTCGTTCTTCTGCGACGAATCGACTGGTTAGAAGCGGGGCGTTGGTTCGATGAACCTTTACGCGCTTGCGCAGGGGACAACCAGTCCGAAGGTGACGGGTGTCTCCATATACAAAACACCGTTGGGTGTCTACACGCTACCGGCAGCTCACGCTCTCCCTCCTTTTTCTCAGCATAGCTGAGATCCAGTGAATGAGGCCCGCTCGTCGAGCTCTGATGGTGTATGAGCATTCAACCAGGTCGTGCTGACTTGAAACTTGAAATCGAAATCCAATGCCACTTCTACCGCTTCTTTAAAAGAGGACGGATGCAAACGAAAAACTTCACGCCAGTGCAGAGGCCCTACAAAAAGACGGTCACTGTGACCGCCTTGGGGAGAGAATCGGCTGCCATTCCAGCAATGAAAGTCGTGGGCAAAGTCCACCAACCCCTTTATGACCTGTCAAAAAGCTAGGAACACGATCGCTCGCGATATGCCTAATTAGGCGGCGAGAACACTCGCAATAGCTGACGTTCCAGCTTCCTCCAGCAGGGAGACGCAGCTCTAACCGAAGCACCAGAAATTAATTCTCGCGCTTGGCCCCCGAGCTTGGAGAAAGCTAGCGCCGCGCGCTGCTGCTTGTTTTGGAGCATGGC